GGCCTCGGGAGCCCCGGGCCTGGTCGCCATGGGAACACCGCGGGGGGGAGCTGCCCTGTGAGGAGACCCCCGGGGCGAGGGGGTGTCCCTCCACCTCTGTTCCCCCCTTAATTAACGGTTAACGAACCCCCCCGGCGCCTTCATGTTCGTCGTATATGGGTGGGCGCTTATTTTGGGCCATAAATCGCCGCTTTCTCACCCGTTGTTTGTTTTAATTCCCGGTACATGAGCGCTAAGTTCTCAATCACTGCCGTTAATTACAGGTGACCGCCTGCTCTTCCACCTGCGGGTAAGGACCAGGTTTGCCGAGGCCGCTGGGATTGGGATTAATGCCTTTAAAAACCCAACCGGAGACTTAATTCCCAAATTTGAGGGAATTATGTTGCCTGTAGGCTTTCTTCTCTGGGTTTATCTGCGCTCTCAGGTGGGAAATGCCCTTCCAAAGGGGTTTGTAGCTGTTGGGCCACTCGGAATGTGGCCACAAAACCGTACCCGGTGCAGAATCCCCCAGTTCCTCCATCGTTATCGCTGTAAAACCAACGGGAGTTCCTCTGCCAGCGGGGGTTCCGGCAGACCCCCTTTGGCGGGAATACTTCCCCACTCCCCACCGCTAATTGCCGCTTCTGACTTCCCCGCGGTTCACCGCCGAGACCCTTTTTTTTCGGAGAACAGAGAACTTGCTGGCGTCCCTTCCCCGGAGCGGTTTGTGGTTTGCTTAACTAGTTTGGGGCCGGGGGGGAGAAGAGGGATGAGCGTAATCGAGCTCGAAGCCTTATTTTTCCCAAAACTGTGAGCCCCAAAGAAAATGTGGGGGTCAGTCCCATCGGTAGAGCAGCCGTTGGTCAGCAGAAGCTGTTACTGATGTGAATTATTTACGAATAATGGTTGGTTTATGGCGTTTCTTTTTGTCCCACTGGGCGCTAAAGCAGCATCTCAACCCGCGGAGGTAAGGCTCGTCGCCTCCCTGGCACCCGGCGCAACGCCAAGATACGTATTTGAGGTCAGATTGTCCCTTTTAATCACCTCCGAAAGGCTCACGGCCGCTTCGTGTGGACATTGTAGATAAAATCGCGGTATTTACACTGATTCTGGGTCACCCCGTGCTTTTAGTCCAACCCGCTCCCAGGATTTGCGGGAAGTTGGCCTGGGTTGGGCAGGTCCTGAGCGCTGGGACGCGCTCAAAGCAAGCAAGAGTTTGGTACTCCCTGTAAATATATACATAGAGCTTCTCTTAAATACCGCCTGGGGTGTCGTCCGGCCTCACTGAGGTCACGGCCGCGCTGGATTGCATCAGAGGTGACCGGGGGTTGGGGATTTTTCACCCAGATCGAGAGGAGATGGGGAAGGGATTGAACCACCCAGCCCAGGGAGGTTCCAGGTATCCTTCACGTTGTAAAAGCCCCGAGGGAGTATTTTTGCCTTTAAAACTAATAAATTAAAGTGTGATGATACGCTGGAGAACGGTTAGGAGGAGGGACGCCGCCTCCGTGGTGCCTAAAAGGATTGCCGCTGCTTTCCCGGCATCCTTGCCTGCTCCTGTTCCGCTCGGCCAGCCCTCCGCAGCGGGGTGGGAAGTTTTACTGTTTGCCACGATGTCCCATTTATTCTAAAATCGGATATTCCTGTCGGATGTATTAACCCATCTGGGGTTAAACCACCCCGTGGCGTTATCTTGGCTCCTTCCCTGAGATGTGGCGAGTGAGGTTTGCGGGGTCCCGCCTCGCCGGCGGGTTTGTAGGGATCAAAACCCCGGATCCTCCCAATATCTGACCTGACGGGGTGGCACTGGTTTATACTGTAGTTTGTGCTGCAGAAACCACCTGTGAGTTGAGGAAAGCTGCTGTTCTTCCAGATTTTCCGCCCTTTCCGATGCTCTAGCGCACGCGCCTCTTTTCCCTCAGCTGAACTATGCCCAAACTTCCCTTTTATTTGCACTAATTGATGGCCTGAAGCCCGAGGCGTCGTTACGCGTTTGCCGTCTACGAGACCAGAATTCGCAGCCCGATTCCCTCATCCCTTCCCGCTGCCGAGCGCTCGCTCATCCTTCGAAGTACGCGCCTCGGTGGATGCGGTCGTGGCGCTGGGACTCCTCCTTTCCTCTCATTTCCCAGCGGAGCGGTGTTTGCCAGCTTTCTTGGCAAGAAGAAAAAAAAAAAAAGCAGCCAAACCTGGCAATGCTCTCGCCTCCCTGGGGTTTGGCTTCTCTCCTTTGCTGCTCTGCCCGTTCCCGAGACGGGTGGGACAGCTTGAACCTGCCGGTTTTGCCGTCGTGATGCTCCACGTTTCGCTCCGGAGATCTCCGGAGTCGCAGAGATCCTTAGTGAACCCAGTACCGGGCAGTTTACATCGCCGGCTTCAAGGATGAAGTTCTTTGACAGTGGGTTTGGCTATTTATACCACGCGTGTGACCTGTTTCCATCCTTTTTCGCGTCCCCCGGGCGTGCGCGTGGCTCAAAGCCAGCGCGGTTACGGTGACGTTGGAGATCGAACAACCCCCCCTCCCTCTGTCCGAGAGCCTTTCTTTTTGCGGGGCCCCTTCTCACCGCTGAAGGGATTCGTACGGCACAAACTCGGCGCGGATAAATCCTTCAGGCGTTGCAGTGTGTGGGGGGTTTAATGGATCCCTTGCCCTGCTGCCTGTGTCATTTTAGACAAATGTTAGCGAACTGGTTGATTTTAAATAAAAAGAATCCCTTGACCTCGCCAACTCCTGAGTAACACTTCAGGCAGGGAAACTTAAAACAAGGAGGAAATGTTGTTGTGTTGTTTTTTTGTTTTTTTTTTTCCCCCCACCCTCCTGCTACTCCTTTCTAACCCCTGCGAGTCATTTTAGCTCCGTGGGTTCTTTTAATCCTGGTTTCTACGGGGGGAAACCGTAATTTTTATAAACTTTTTCAGGCAGGACCGTGCCAGCGGAGCTCTGCCTGCGTGGAGAGAGTAAGGCGGCTCCGTCCCGCTGCTGGAGAGGTGGTGAAGAATACGTATGTTCGTTAGCGGCTTGATTTTAAATTTAGATTAAAGAGATGAGGATGGGGGATACTTCCGAGAGCCTTCTCCGATTGCCAAGGACGGCTCGCACGTTTTTATCCGGCGTTTTCTGCCGAGAGGCGCGCTGTGACCGTCCCCGACGCCGCGGTGTTACCGTGCGAGCGCCGGACAGACGATCCGGGCGATAAATCGCCACGTCCTGAGTATCTCTGTCATCGTCTGTGTCTGTCACCCTCCCCCGGCACCTGGAATTGGGTTCCAGATGGGTGTAGCGAGCCCGGCGTGGGGCTCGAATGAATGGTGAAATACGCATGGGGGGAGGCTTCCGTCCACATCGGAGCGTCTGGAACCGTCGGGCGGAGGAGATACCTCGCTGGGGGGGAAAAAAAGGAGGGGTTTTTTTGGGGAGGGATTTGGGCAGGAGGACGTGAGAGCGGAGGGCAGGCGGCGCGGCTTGGCAGGGGCTGCGGAACGGGCGATCCGCCGCGCGTGTTTGCCACGCATCCTTCGCATTCCTCGCCCTCCCTCGCTCGCCTTCCAACAAACGCAGTTGTCGCGCTCTCTCTTTCTCTCTCTCTGCCGTGCCGAGGGGCTCGGCTGGGAGCGGGGAGGGAGGGAATAACGGATTCCACAAGCACTGTAGGGCTCAGAGATCGTTTTGCCCAGCTAGTCTGTATTGATTCATCATTTTCTCCCAGCTAATCTGTATTGATTCATCGTTTTCGCCCAGCTAATCTGTATTGATTCATCGTTTTCGCCCAGCTAATCTGTATTGATTCATCGTTTCGCCCAGCTAATCTGTATTGATTCATGTTTTGCCCAGCTAGTCTGTATTAATTCATCGTTTTCGTCCAGCTAATCTGTAATAATTCATCGTTTTGCCCAGCTAGTCTGTAATAATTCGTCGTTTTTGCCCAGCTAGTCTGTATTGATTCATCGGTTTTGCCCGGCTAATCTGTAATAATTCAGGTTTTGCCCGGCTAATCTGTATTGATTCATCGTTTTTGCCCGGCTAATCTGTATTGATTCATCATTTTCGCCCAGCTAATCTAATAATTCATCGGTTTTGCCCAGCTAAGCTGTATTAATTCATCGGTTTTGCCCAGCTAATCTGTATTGATTCATCGTTTTCGCCCAGCTAATCTAATAATTCATCGGTTTTGCCCAGCTAATCTGTGTTGATTAATTGTTTTCGCCCAGCTAAGATGTATTGATTCATTGGTTTTGCCCGGCTAATCTGTATTGATTCATCGTTTTGCCCGGCTAATCTGTAATAATTCAGGTTTTGCCCAGCTAATCTGTATTGATTCATCGTTTTTGCCCGGCTAATCTGTATTGATTCATCGTTTTCGCCCAGCTAATCTAATAATTCATCGGTTTTGCCCAGCTAAGCTGTATTGATTCATCGTTTTTGCCCGGCTAATCTGTATTGATTCATCGGTTTTGCCCGGCTAATCTGTAATAATTCAGGTTTTGCCCAGCTAATCTGTATTGATTCATCGTTTTCGCCCAGCTAATCTAATAATTCATCGGTTTTGCCCAGCTAAGCTGTATTGATTCATCATTTTGCCCAGCTAGTCTGTATTAATTCGTCATTTTTGCCCAGCTAGTCTGTAATAATTCATCATCTCTCCCCAGTTTGGTGTCCAAGTTGTGGTTTGTGACCCCGCATCCAGCGTCGTGCTGCCCCGGCGTCTTCCCCCTCGCAGTGCCGCCTCCTAAATTTCCCCTTTTCTCTCTGTCCCGTAGGTGCGTCTGACCCACCATGACCATCCCTCAGCTCCTCCTCTGCCTGTCTCTCTCCATGCTCTGCATCTCGAGCAAACCCACCGAGAAGAAGGACCGGGTTCACCACGACCCGCAGCTCAGCGACAAGGTCCACGACGATGCGCAGAACTTCGACTACGACCACGACGCTTTCCTCGGGGCGGATGAGGCCAAAACCTTCGATCAGCTCACGCCGGAGGAGAGCAAGGAGAGACTCGGGTAAGGAAAAGAGCCGAAATAAAAAGCAAATTGAGAAAGAACGAATCCGCAGTGGGTTGTGCCATAAATGTCGCCCCCTCCGCCCCACCCCAGCCTTCATGTATGTTCTTTTGCACCTCGGGTGGCAGAGGTAATCTCAACGAGAGCCTTTTAAATGTCATTTTTAAGGCAGCAGTAGTTGAAATTTAGTGACCGACACAACCACTGGTGACAAAGTTATGCAGCACATGTGCAGTTCTCGCCGGAGATGTTGCTCTCCCCCTGCAAGGTCACCTTGAGTCATTCAAGCACGCTTTGCTTCCGAGCACCGAATACGCTCCCCTAAAACTACAAAGCATAAAGAAAAATAAACGTCTTTTTGCTTCGCTGTACCCAAACCAGCAGCTTGCCCGTCTCCAGTTACCGCTGGAGTCCGGAGGCCCCGGGGGATTACTTGCATTTTCCTGCCACGTTATTCATCCCCCTTGAGAAGCAGCTGGTGGCTGCTCGCAGCCCCGAGTTAAGCCAAAACCAGAGCATCTCTTGAAAATTTAACTTCTGCTTCCTCGCTCTGCCTCCCCTTGCCACCTGCGGACGGCAGAACGCGGCGGGGTTTGGCGGGGGGGGGCCGCTCGCCGTTGGCCCCCGGCGATGGCGGCTCCTCGGCGGCGCTTACAGCCTCTGCCTTTGTCTGCGGGGCAGCAGCTGCCAGCGCCAGTTGTTCACGTTGGGCTTAAAAAAAAAAAAAAAATAAAAAAAGCTTAAACTTTCGGAGGTTCAGCCTTGCCCGGACATTTTCGGAACCCCGGCACCTCCCTGGAGAGCTCGGCCTTCTTGGCAGGAGGTTCCTGGAGATGGAGAGCCGAAGGATTGACTTGTGACGGTCCAAATCACCCCTTAACTCTTCAGTTTTGCCCCTTTTTTTTTTTTTCTTTTTCCCTGTTTTTTTTTTTTTGGAAGGCAGGGGGTTGGTGCCTGATTTCTAGG